TCCCTCCTCCATTCCGCCTCGCCTATTTCCCTTTTGTTACACACGGTGGATAACCAGCGTGGAAACGGATATCTTTCGAGAGGAGAATTTAGCAGAGAGAGAGAGAGAGAGAGAGAGACTGGGAGGATGCGAAACGACCACAATTCCGCTTATCGATTCTCCCCTTTAAGAGATTCGAGGCAGGAAGTTTAATTGGTCTTGACCGCTTCGTGTAATTGGCAATTGATCCGAAAATTCGGTTTCTTCGTGAGGAGTGGCCCTTCTCACGATTCGTGGAATCTTGGGAGGAAGCCACTTGAACGGAGAGAGTCGGCTATTTAAATGGAAAGTTTTCGATTGTTTCGACTCGTCGGCGGATCTTTCGTTTCGAAACATGTAGACGTGTATACGCGTTTGATTGTTTTATTGAATAGGTATATTGAATAGGTGCTCTTCTCTGTTTTGTGGTAATTTTTGTCGATAAACGACGATCCGATAAACGAAGTGAAAAAAAAGAAAAAAAAAGTTGATCGTTTTCATCGTAGGATGGGATGAGAAGAATTTTTACAAGAATTTTTCAATATTTTTTCAACGAAATCTCTCCCTTTCCTTTCTTTCTTTCCAATCGGTGAAACGAGATCGAGAAGAAAGGATATTATAATTACGACCTATATAACGATAAACTCGTCTTTCTCAAAATTAAAATCAAACTGTATCGATAATTCTTGATCGATGTTAGAACGATAAATTATCGATCCCAATGAAAATTTTCTTCCGTTTATTAAGAAATAAATCTCTCGTAAAAATTAAACTTCTCAAACCTATAATATTACATCATTGTTAAACGAGTGAATCTATTCCTTCCTTTGCCTCCTTTTTCCCAATTTCATCCTATGAAACGTATATATAATGACGATCTGCAACGACAAATTACAACGATTTCGAATAAAAATTCCTAATGAATTCGTATCTCGTGAAATTGAATTACATTTCACAACTATCGCAAATGATCCGCAAACAAAAATAAATGCAAACGCAACGAGTCGAGTCATTCTTGAACGAGCGAAATTCTCCTATCCTCTCTCTCTGTCTCTCTTCTTTTCTTCTA